AGTGGACCAAATGGGTGAGGTTGATTATAATAGGCATGAATACACACGTGAACATCGATCGAGTTTCTCTTTTTCCTATCTATTTTTATTGATCCTCAAAATTCAATCGACCCTTCGTCGTCAAAACAGAGAGTGACGATTATCGCCAAGATCAGTGATCATTATTTTAACCCCAATTAATCGATGGCCTAAGCTATATGCCTTTGGCCAAGAAGAATGTTCTTTTACTAAAAGAATCTTCTGTGATAATTAACTCAACTTTTCACCTAACTAATCATACATTTTGTTCAAATACTACAAATTTTTAGAAGCCTTCCATAGTGCATAATAGTACAACTCCAACAATTTGTAAACAAAAAAGAACTTCTTACATTTTTAGATTAAACCCTATTTGGTTAAGATTTTTTGAGAATAATTTTGTGAAAGTATTTTTTTATTTTTTATTTTTTTGAATGTATGTTTAAAAGTAGAGGAAGAATATGAGTTCAAGTGTAAAACTATTTTATTGGAAAAATGTATGATTAAAAATAAGTTTGAAAAAAAAATTTAAAAATAGTAACCAAGAAGGAGCTGATCGTCTGCTTTTAAAGTTATATAAAAATAAATAAAAGAGGTTCTAAAAATTAAAATTAACAAATTTATTAGAAAAAGGTCATGAATTATTGATTTGAATTTACGCAACGTATATACAGTTCCATGATTAAAAATCATAGTTAGACAAGTAACATGTTGTGGGAACAACAGCTATGACCATCATAAAATAAGAACATGGGACTTTTTGAAAAACCAAGCAACCAAAATTCCCTCATCAATTGAACCATGACTCAAGAAAGCGTTTTTTCATTTTTGATTTTTACTGGGTAAAATCCACAATTGGGTTGATTTGTGAGTTATTATTTAGGTAAAAATGCAGCGATGGAGATTGCCTCGGATTGTGGACCAAAAACTGTCAACTTCCCAGATGCTAGCTTTAGCAACTGACGACGAACCCCACCGCCCCATTGCTTCGAATCAATTCGTCCGCAGTGCGTCAATCCTCCGCAATACCATTTCAGTTTCTCTCACTCGATCTTTGCCTTCAAAAGGAAGTCCCATTTTGCAAAATTTTCAAATGGGCACATCCTCGAATCCACTCTTTGTTTCATCTACTCTTTTGTCGAATTCTGGCTGGGTTTTTGTACCTTTTTATTTTTAGACAATTGGGTTCCAGCATTCCATTCCCATGAAGGCTGAGACTAGAGGGATCATTAGACTAAAATGTTCTGTCAAGAACTACGATTGGGGGAAGATTGGGAAGGAATCGAGTGTGGCGAGACTTTACGGGAAGAACAGCGGGGTGGAAACTCATGATGATAAGCCTTACGCCGAGTTCTGGGTTGGGACTCACGACTCTGGGCCCTCCTACGCTGTCGCCGTTGGCTACAAGGAGAATTGGATTTTGCGGAACGGTAATGGGGCTCTAAAGAAAGAGAACGATGACAATCATTATAATTTGGTGAGATTGAAGGACTGGATTGAACAAAACCCTAGAGTTCTTGGTGATAAGGTTTGGGAAAAGTGGGGTTCCAATCTCCCCTTTCTCTTCAAGGTACTATTTTTATCTTAAATTATGTTGTGTTTATATTTTGTCGGAAGTTTGCAGTTGTAAAGGTGGGATTAGAGAGAAAAAGTGTTATGATTCTTCTTTCCTCCTTTTTTGGGTTGAGGAATCTATCATTGATCCTTTTATGTTTAGTTTTTCTAGTTGCTTTTGATAGGCTTTTAATGAATATCCCTGAGGAGTTAATAAGGTATTTTAAATTATCTTCCGCTACAGTTCTCTGATATTTGAGATTTATGATACTCTGTGAGTATTAAAAGTACAAAAAATATGTACCTTATAACCCAGTATCATTTTGAGATTTTTTCATTATCCAATGAAAAATTAAGAAATAGTTTTCCTCATGGGAATTTTTAGGTTTGTTACCCAAAATACAAGTAGTGTAGTGTACCTTGGATTTCAGACTAATATAAAAATTTGAAATTTCTCAGCTCTATTAGCCTGCAGGATTAAGTGGTTATTCGTTTTTTTTTTTTTTTAATAACCGGTATTTTTTTAGGTACTTTCAGTGGCAAAAGCATTGTCAATACAGGCTCATCCAGATAGGGATTTGGCAGCAGTACTGCATGAGCAACATCCAGATGTGTACAAGGATGGCAATCACAAGCCTGAGATGGCTTTGGCGCTGACGGAATTTGGGGCTCTATGCGGTTTTATCAGTCTTGAGGTAGTACGCTTATCTTATAGTCTTGGGATGAATATTTTGAGCGGGTTTTCTTTGTTTCATAATTAAAAATAATGCCTTTGTAAAACCTTAATATGTGTTTGGAATGAATTTTTCATTATCCATATGTAGAACTAATGTCTTCATTGTGGTGTAGTAGAGAGTCAGAATAAGTCAGCAACTATATCTTTGCAGATAGCAGACTGCTTCAGCAGTAAATCTGTTGGATTGAATTGAAGGGAAATTACTTGTCTTGTGAAGGTTTCTATATGACTTGAATATATTTTAGGGGGTCTTTTTGTATTGAATAGGTTAACTTTGACATGCAATTGGAAGATGGTTGTGGAGATTGTTATATTGAGAAACTATTTTGTCTTTTGAATATCAGGATGTCTTAAGAACATTCTGAATCTGAATCCTCAAAGCTTATCTTTTACAACGAAGATTGTTGTGACCTGATGATCGAATTTTCTTAATTTAATGATTGTTGAATCTCGGTATGTACCTCACTAATGAGATCTTGTTGATTTTAATGCTCAGAACATCCACCAATCAAAGTGGTGTGGTTTAGGTGGTTTGTTGGACAAATGTGTCATATGTTTTGTGTAGACAAGTTCGACTGATATGATTAGCTACTCAATGATGTCAGTTAAATAACTGCTTTTAAAAAGGATTAGCATTTATATAATTTTTGTCCCTTTTGTCTATGTGGCTATCGTTATTCCTTAATAAACTCTAAAGGATAAGATCAAGGAAAGCAAAATAAAAATGAGAACTTGAGAAGCTAATTTTGAAAAGGACGTGATCCATTTCAGTGCAAAGGGAAATTACTAATTTTGTGATCAATTTTATCAAGCAGGGGTGAAGTTGATGGATTCTAGAAAGATACGGAATTACATCAATTATCGAGAGGATTTTTTTATGACATCCTAAAATTTGTGGATGATGAATGGTCTGTATTGTGTCACATGTAACTTGTAAGTGCACCTAGATTTCATGAGGTCTATAGACAGGTCTGCTGCTCCAAGTTCAGCATAGAATTTCTAATGGACCTTTAGTGAGGTGTATCGTCTTGCCATATATATCCTCCTATTATAAGGTCATAACTCATTTGGAAATATATATAGAGTAGATCTCTTAGTGGAATTATAGGATTAAACTAAATTGATCGAGGTAAAGGTGAATCTTATACCCAGGATGATGGATTGGACCCATAGCTCATGTCTCATGTTGTTTAATTTATGACTTCTTGGAATTCATGCAATTTACATGTAAGTTGTTATGTTTGTTTATAGGAGCTTAAGGATGTCGTTCAAAATGTACCTGAGATTGTAGAGGTGGTTGGTGGTGCACATACAGCTCGGGTATTACACATTGATGAAGAGGACAGGGAAGTGGAAGCCAAAGAGGTCTTGCAATCTATATTTACGGAACTCATGTCAGCCAGCAAGGTCACAATTTCCTAAGTAATCTCCAAGATGATAACTCGATTGAATGCAAAACGTGAGGTATACAAGAATTCTTTCCTTCCTGAATTTACAATTATTTTACTTGTCAATGCTTTATTTTGTCATCACTTAGGATGCATTTACTTTTTAGCTCATTGTGGTATGATCAATATACTTCTTTTTTCATCTCTTATTCACTGAATGCATCAAGATAGTTGCCCACAACTACTTCAGTTGCATCAAGTACCAAGAAGTTTGCTTCGGATTGGTAAAGGAAAATTTTCCTTAGTGGCTGTTCATATTGTTTGAATGGATGGGAAAGACAATATGCATTTCTGCAGGAGAAACCTGATGAGGATTGAGGGATCTGTACTTGCATAGTTGGAGTTGTTGGGGTGTTGCACGCATGAACCTGCCTTCAAGCTTTAAGTGGCATATTACCTTGAGAAAATTTTCTGAAATCTTTCAGCAATTCATTTTAAGGAGATCCATATTTTACCAATTGCTGATATGATTATTTTCTTCAACTCATTCTCTCAGCTCTGCCGCAATTTCTGATTGTGTGGAATTCCATTAGTCTGGCAGTCTTACAAACATGATTTTTCTGTATTTTTGTTGAACCAAGGTCTCAGGAAGTATAAGATGGATTGTCTAAAGTTTTTTGCCTAATGTGGACGTAAGAATTCATATATGAATTTATGTTTATATTCAATTACTTTCTGGTTGAGTTGTGTATGAAAGTTATTGAGGTATTCCATATCTGCCTATAATGGGCATGTATATATATATTTGGCAATAAATCTAATAACTTGTGATGTATAGGTGAGGGATCTCACAGATAAGGAAAAGCTGGTTTTGGTGCTCGAGAAGCAGTATCCGGCTGATGTTGGTGTTATAGCAGCCTTCCTGTTCAATTATGTGAAACTTAATCCAGGTGAAGCCCTATATATTGCTGCAAATGAACCTCATGCATATATATATGGAGAATGCGTTGAGTGCATGGCAACATCAGATAATGTTGTTCGCGCTGGCCTTACACCAAAGTACAGAGATGTTCAAACTCTCTGTTCCATGCTCACATTCATACAGGTGATGATCAAACATAATGCTTAGGAGATTTTTTTATTTTTTATTTTTTTCGTTACATCATTGTTTTCTTTATGGTTCTTTTTATCTTACTTTAGACTAGCTGATGATGATGTCGTGTCCTGGAGCACCAATAATGAGCCAGCAGCTTGATTATTTTTTGGTATTTCATTCTGTAACATGTTGAAAATTCTAAGCGTGTGCCTGTTGTGAGCAAAATTTACAGTGTGCTTAGAAGGACCTTAGGCATTAATATAATAGCTGTGCTGAATATTACGGTAGCCTCCCCCTAAATCCTTTCATCCGCCTACTCTCAGGGAAAAAAGAAGAAAACAGAGAGATAACCCCTTCTAATCTCGGTTCGCTGCAGGTTGACCAGATAGAATTGATGTAATTAAATGTAAACATAGCCTATGTTTGGCTCATGTTTATAAACAGCTTATAAATACTCTAGGTCACCTTCTATACACACATTTCGATAGACAAGTACTAGCTACTTATCCACAACACATTTTTATCTATTTATATTTAAATCAGTTTTAAACACTTCCTGAAGGTGATCTAAGTTGTAAGTTTGTAATTGGAATCTTGGCAATTTTCACTCAGTAATCACATTTTTAATCAAAGGGGGCTGTGATGCTAGCCACAAGGCCCTTTTGTATTTTGGACAGTTTGAAACTTATATCAATGCAGTCCTTTCATCGAGGGGCTGCAACCTGTTAGTGAATATCATTTCAACGCATACCAGGATTTTCCCTGTAGCTCTGGTAATTAGTGTCTGTTGTGATACCTTATCTGTCTAGGTTACAAGTCAAAGAAGAATAGAAAAATTCAGCATCACTTGAATGCCTAATATTACAATTAGGTCGTTGTCATCCATGATTAGTTTGTGTGGAAACTTACTCCCTGTTAATGGCTCACAAATATTTTTTGTCGTGTTGGGTTCTATTTTTTAATTCAAATTTAAGGTTACACTTCGTATAGAATGTAAAAGGTTTAGACGTGATATTATTCATGCCTCTCAATACCTTGCTTATTGTAATGATACCAACTATAGGCCTTTTGTTGGCTACTTATGATGGCTGGTCCCTCAACGGATGTCTTTAAAGGTATTTGCAGTCACATTCAAGCACTTTCTATGCAATATTACGAGGGAGTGGAAGTAGAATGGACGAGATTTTAGTTTTTGTCTATTCCTTAAGATCGTTTGGTATTATAATCCACCTGACCAAGCATGTCACTATGGTCTTAGATCAGCACGACTTGTTTTGCGTCTAACTTGTGCTATTGCAGGGCTTGCCGGAAATCCTCCCAGGAGTTGCTTTGAACCCTTATACTGTTAGGTATCTCCCCCCGTTTGATGAATTCGAGGTTGATCGATGCATTCTTCCCCAAGGAACATCAGCTGTTTTTCCTGCAGTACCCGGACCCTCCATTTTTCTGGTGTTGATGGGAGAAGGAACAATGTGCACAGTATCCTCTAAAGAGTTAATTGGTCAAGGTGATGTGCTATTTACACCTGCAAATACTGAGATCACTGTTGCAACTACATTAGGTTTGAATTTATACAGAGCAGGAGTAAACAGCAGGTTTTTTGAAGAGTAATTCTTGAAATCTGCAGCAGAGAACTAAACGGATTTTTCTTATGCACTGCTGCACTTTTATGTAACATAATAACATTACCATACGTGTATATTTACCTCTTATTATATAGATCAAGAAATATATTTAGTCTGAGGTCTTGGAAGTTTCTGTTTTTCCCCTTTAGGGGAAATTATTCTATAGATTTTTGAGGTAAAGCCAAGATGAAGTATCACACTTTATTTTTCAATTTAGTAAAATTTTTAGATTGAACATTGTGTGAATGACCGTATGATATGTAAAAGTGAAAGATCCGCCTATAAAAATTGGGAAAATTGCATGCTTAAGAGACATTTGATTCGTTGTTTTTAATTTGGTAAAAAATCCAAGAATTAATATGATTTGATATTTTTGAAAATGCATTTTTAGAAAAAAAAAAATTATATTTATAACCTAAAACTCAGTTTTAGGTGTGATTGATGGTAGAAGAAAGATTTTTTTTATTTTTTTTTCAATTTTCTTTTCTTTATTTTAATTGAGATTCATTTACACTTTTTGAAAAATTAACTCAAACTACGGGTTTTTCTTCTTCTTCTTTTTTTTTTTTTTTTTTTTTTTTTTTTTTTTTTTTTTGACCATTTTCCTTTGAAATTTTTGCTTAATTAGTTCTTTAACTCTAGCACCTAAAAACATTGTCAAACATTAAGATCGACATTTTTATTTTCACCTTTAGTCCATTAGCATAGTTTTTACCTTTTCCGTAACTTCCTTTCTGCTCGCCCCTCAAACCAAAAATCGTTACTCTTCCAACGCCCTTAATACAAGAAATGGAGTAGCAGTTGAAGGTGAAAGCATGTAGAGGCTCGCATGGTTTCTCAATAATCTCTCCTCTTCAGCTTTTCATTTTTCCTTCTTCCCTTTTGTTAGCAAGTGGCGTGAAGATAATTATATTGATTTATATATTGGCAAGTTCGCATTAAAAAATAAGTCACTCACGTATTACTTATCTTTAAAATAAGTAAATCCCCAAACATGCACTATATTTACTTTTAATGGCCCCAACATTTCTTTAAACCCACGACATGCTAAAAGGTATAAACTTATTTGCAATTCTACAATTATGAACTTGACCTGGCATCAATAAAAATAGTTCTCACGTTTTTAGTAGAACAAAACAGAGGTTAATGAATGAAGCATGCCAATACATAGCCATGTATAGAACTAACTGTCTAGTCGAGATCACTAAAACTTGATTTTTGAAGATTTTGCAACAGATGTAACTTCAACAGAACACTTGTTTTTCTACAACCAAATGACCGCACGGAAATCGAAGCAACTCTTGAATAATTAATTGCATGTCAAAACATCAAAATTCACATACTAAATGCAAAAATATAGCGATTTTAATAAATAAGCACTGCAAGAAAGCTCAGACTTTCAGGCCTCAGTGATCGGAAATTCGAAGACAACATCTCTCCCTGAAAGCTTTCTGTAGACTCCAGCAAACGTCTCCAGCTTAGTTTCAGTGTCATTCTTTGCTTTGGGATCCAAGTAAACCTGCAAAGTGCAGATGAATGTTAAAAAAATTTGCATAGAACAGTTTGCAGAAGATAAAAATCATGGTTAAAGAAATATATGTCCGGGTTACCTTCATTATCTTTGATCCATCGAGCCTGTATCTAACACGCTTTCCAACAATTTCAGCAGGATAAACTATATCCTCAAGCATAGCCTCATGGACAGCTGTAAGTGTACGGGTCCGAGGCCTCTGAGCGGCAGAACCCTTCTTTGGTGGCCGCAATATTCTTCGGGTAGCAATGAGAACGACTTCCTGTTAAAAAGGCCACAAGTGATTGACGTGAATAGGTGCAGAGAGCTTTTAAAACAATTTTCGAGCAAATAATTCTCAATGCTTTAACAAAATAATATCTGTGAAAATATAATGTATAAAGAATAAAATAAAATCTCAACTTCTCAGTTATAAGCAATTCTAATATCTTATATGCAGTCAACTGCTCCGCCTTCCTGATAAAGAGGCAGAAGTAAACTGACAATTGCTCCTTAAAAGAAAGTGTTAAAGATCCTAATCCTTGACACGATGAAAGTAAAAGGATAACTCCTAAAATGAAATACACAAGAAACTAATATGTGCAGGTTCCGTTTCCATCTCAAGTCTGGAACCTAGAACAAATATACAGCAACTTCCCTTGCTATCAACATAGATCAGCTATTCTTGAACTGGTTACAAGATTAATTTTTAGAAAACCTAGCATGGAATTTATAAGGAAACTACGTAAAAAGGTCTTCTTAAATTCTAATGGAGCAAAAAATTTGCTTCTCACTTTTATGTCTGACGTAAACGTAAAAATAAATAAATAAATAAAATTAATATTGAATAACCACCACATCTTGGAAGATGATGTTCTATTAACATAATTTTGCAGTACAAAATAATTAAGAACTCCACTACAATTTTGGTTAGATAAATGTTGCAAATTAAGAACATGACATCATAGTATCAGCATTACCTTCCCACTGAACTTCTTCTCAAGCTCTCTCACTAGTCTAGGATGAATCTTGCGAAAAGCTTTCCTAAGACGATAAGGAACATGGATCACAACAGCCTTCTTGTTTCCAGAAACATCAATTTGCCTGTAGAATATAAAATGTACAGATCATCAACATGCTACAAAATGGTGATTTGGCATATAATACATGTTAATCATGATGACTGTTACATGGCAGAGTTGATGTAGAGATCTTTCAAGTCACTCTTAATCTCTTGATTTGTACTTTCCAAGTCGAACAGAGCCTACACATATCAAGAAGGGAAAACCATCACAATTTGCATTTATAGAAATTTAATGGCTGAATAAGGTAGATGTCTCCAGTAGCATCAATAAGGTAACGACCTGAGCAACAGATTCCTCAAACTCAGTGGGCTCAGCATCCTTGTCCTTGTGAATCTTTTGCAATGCAGTGTACATCTTGGAAAAAGCTGATTTTGAAAAAAATAGAAAGCGTAAAATTGACAGATAGAGCCCTAAAAATTGATTCTTCTGGTCTAGTTTAACAAATTAAAGTTATCAAATAATATGTGCATATTATTACAAACATAAAACAGCATCCCACACATATTTTTATTCTTTTTCCTCAATAAAACAGCTTCGATTTTTTATTTATTTTTTAACAGCTAAAATGTGTTTGTAACTATATGCTTGTTCTAATCAGATGATGGTTAAAAAGAATGTCTAAAAATGTATGTGATGTCCACTTTCATCAAATTTAAAAGCTTTGGCTCACAAATTAAGACATCAGACGCTATTTTAGTCAAAATTTATGAATAAAAATCTAGAAAACAGATCTTGCAAATAAATACAATCATAATTAAACAGGTTTGCTTAGGCAAAAATAATCCTTTGAGACCAATTTTTCCTAGCTATTTTTAACATTTGCTGCAAACATCAAAAAATACAACAAAAAAACCTAAACACCATTAATTTCTTTTCCAAGGATTACAGCCTTATTTTCCAGAATTCAATTCCCACTACCCAATAAAAAGCTGTGGACTTTAAAAGATAACAAAAGAACATGCAAATTGTTCCTCAACGAACCATAAAAAGTACGACACCACCACCAAACATATTCTAATAAAAATGAGATCGGATAAAAATTGAATTGAATTGATCCGAAGGACAGTTATAATACGAAAAAATGTCTAACAAATGCCTGTACACTGAAGACTGAAATAATTTTTAAGAAATTTTAAACAATCTAAAAAGAGCCCAGATGAAAAAAAAAATGGATTAAATTGAAATCGTATAAATGCCTACAAGCAAAAAAGCTTACTAAACTCGTCGAAAACAGGAAAAATAGGAATCAGGTGAAAAGCTTACTAAACTAGAGTAGATCGAATTTTTAAGGGATTTACGAGAAACTAATTAGAACCCAGATGAAAATAACAGTATATAATAAGACCCATTTGTTCGAAAAATGCACCTCAGTAGAGAGAATTAACGGGCTCCCTAGCTTCAGCTCTGTAAGAAGGTCTAAAGTCGGTCGCTAGTGCATACGAGGGTTTAAAAGGTGGGAGGAGAAGAGATACAATGAAAACCCTACTTTCAAACGCCTAAGATAGAATGCTGGGCTGTTAAAGAATTGATCTGGACCGTCAAAATATTAAGAGGGAACCCGACCCGAATTCCCTGCTCTTTAGGATAGACATGCAAACCGGTCCGCTACACGAGCCACCATTCATTAAGAGATAAGACATAGCAAGGCCGAGCAAAACACTGAGCCCAATACATTTTAAACCCAGTTTGGTAGAAATTAATTTAAGTTAAAATCAACAATTAATTTTAACCGTATATTTCATCAATTTTTATCTAAATTTACTAAAAATCCTGATAGCAATTAAAATCTTAATTTTAATCTAAGTCAAAGTCAATAATTCATTTCAACCACATTTTATACATCCTATAATTTTTCAACTACACATTTCATCAACTTCTATCAAAATCTACTAAAAATCTGATTTTAATCCCACCAAATAGGACTCTGATTTTAATTCCCACCAAACGAAGACTCTCCGTTTGACTAAATTTATTACTTATTTATAAATAATCAAATTTTGTTTTTAATTACACATTTCAATAATTTTACGTATGTTCTTCATTTATTCATTACTTAGTTTTGCTTATATTTAAACTAAACCATTTATAAATTCTTCGCAAATGAAGGCTAATTTTTTTTTCTCTTACTCTTTTCTCAGCCTTCAAAAGTAGAAATAATTTAAGATTAAGAATTATTCTTAATAAAAGAAAAAGAAAAATATTTTTTATTAGAATACTTCCCCTCAAGTTGGGGATATAAATGTCATATATTTCCAACTTGCTTGTGATCTTATTAAAATTCAGATAGACCTTTAGTGAGTATATCGACTCATATGAATGGCCATTTGAATCGAGCCCATCCTATATCACTCAATTTCAGACAATTTTACAAGTTTAGATGGAAAGAAATTATAATAGAAAGTTCACATAAGACTACAAAAATTTGTTGCAAACAATGCAAATTGGGGGTGCTGAAAGTGGGATCTTTACTTTTAATAACGTTTGCATTTTTAGATGAAATTCAAATCTTGGGGGGGGGGGGGGTGCCGAAAGTGGGATCTTTATGTTTAACGAATGCACTGTTCGAACTAGAGACAGGTTTTTGGGATTAGCTCATTTACGGGGGACTCACGATCCTTTGTCTCAATTATCGTAGCATTTTTATAGCTCCAGACACGAACGGCATGACGACTTGATGTTATCCTCTCTATCCACCCCTAAACAAAAGAAAACCTTAAGTCCAAATCCATAGTTAAAACGACAAAACATGAATTGACACAACGGTAGTCTTAGGGTCTAAGAGCACTATGCGTCTTTGATAAAACCCAATTTGTTGGATGGTCATACCTTCAAGATGATCCAAATTTATGATCATGGTATTAAAGTTTATTAAATTCAAATGAGCAATTAAATTCGATTAGAACTCAAGTGAGTATACAAAGGAATCATCTTGTAATCTATATTAAGAGATAAATTCTAAATTAAATAATAAAAAAATACTAACCATTTTGGAAAACTCTACTTAATAAATTTGTACTTTTCAAATGCAACCCCTAGTTTCTTCTTTTAATAATGTTCATACTTTTAGATGAAATTCAAATCTCAATATAATATCAGATTTCATAATGCTTAATAAAATTATTCGATCTATCTAAAAACTCAAACGAGTCATCAAAATTTTAAGATAGATGCGTTCAAATGAGTTATCATCTTGTGAACAAAATTTAATAACTTGTGCTACTTCTCTTGAGCATGTTGACATCTTAAGATAGAATCACAAAACCTAAAGAGCCATCATACCCACCACCTTAGAGAGGGTCGTGTCCTAAGGAGTGCCATACGTTATACGCACATGGCCACTTGTATGTTACAGGGGGGCAACCAGTCACAGGGTGGGGCAGACTATCACAAAGGAACAGCCGTTCCCCCGTAACCGCTTTACTCAAGAGAATTTTTCTTCTGGCCTACATAAGACCTATGTAAACTTACGATCGTGTCCAACACACCTTCGAAGAGATTCTTATTGTGCCACCCCAAAATAGGACCATGCTAACATGCCACAACCACATTTAAACCTCTAGGGTGCATCCGGTCTGATCAACACATGCAGAGTTGGTCGAGCTGTTTGATAGATGTAGCGAGTCTAGTCTAGATATGTCCTTCAAGGTTGCCCCTTTAACCGTCTTCCCACTTTGAAATTCGACACTTCACTACTATTTTAAAGTCTCAACTAAACATCGCTACAAAGATTTGAAACATGATCTTCTAGTCTGATATGGGGACTTTCTAGAGTTTCGAATCCAATCTAATGCATATGAAATTAGAAAAACCTTCGGAAGAGCTGACTCAATCCAATGGAATAACCTCTAGCTAATAGAGTTCAAGTTGGATTAGAGTATAATTTATAGCTATGCAAGAACCTACAAATGTCCCACAAATATGTATAGAAATTAGACATTTTTCTCTCTTTCAATTATGTTCATTCATAATAAGGTTCTCGAGAATCAAGATCGCAATGTATACATTGTTCATCACAACTTTATACCAAGAGTTACAGTGAAAGGATTGGTACGAAACACGTGTACTAGGAGTCAAGGAAATTGTGGGATCGTTACTCAAGACAATTGTTCCTACGGCCATGGGCAAGATGTACATACAAAATGTAAACTTACATATTGAATGTAATGCAATGTAAGGTAAAAATATAACAAGATAACCACAAATCCAACAGAATACGGTAACTAGTGTAGCACAATGTAGCAACATCCAACAAAATCCTTCCCACTTAAATCAACATGTTCCTATGACTGCCTCCAGAAACAAGTCATGTAGCCATGGAGCAATAAAAAAACAAAAACACGAGGAAGAAAAGCCGAGGGACATAGGGAGGAGAAACAAAATTCCCAGTGCGCAAATGCCAACAACCAAGCCACGATAATTTGAACAAAACAGAGACTCGCAACAAAATTAAGACCACACCCAGGTACACTCAGTAACTACTGTATTTTTCACCTCGGAACAGGTGGCATTATCCATTTCATCCAATCATTTTTCCGTCTCACTTTATCAACCTACAAGGCAAAAGGACAGAACATTAGAGAACCACACAGGTAAATCATGAACCAACAATATCACCCAGCGAAGTTGGCTATAGATCTATGAATAAGGGTTGTGTCCTGTCCTGTCCTGTCATTAAAAAAACAATCATACAGAGAACCAGAAGCCGCAGGATATACTATATAAAAACAATTATACAAACAACCAGTTACAGCAGGATACTATTCATTTTGCCAAAAGTATTATAAGAAAGAACTCACATGACTCGTGAGACGTGTTCTAATGCATTGTGAATAAAGGTGATGATGATAAAATACAGAAAATGTATCTCAAACCTGTACTTCCACAACGTTCGAAGCTTGTACAGCCTCCAGTATAAGTTGAATATTGTCTGTCAGCTGCATGACCTGTAACCAACATCAAAGATAATATTAAGCTTACTAAAAATGGCTAATATGAATACGCTCAAATTTACATGCATTTTGGATGCTGAAAATACACAACCAATTGACATTGACATTTTCATTCACTTATCTGAACCACTATAATATCAATATTTTCTAGGGCAATGACAGATTCCAACCAGACTCAAAATTGTTCTAGTTTAATTCTGTACCTTTTAGTTTAACACGTACAATTATTGACCAACTAAAAGATAGCTGAATTTTGCATACTGAATCAGGTTCGATTAAAATGGATAAATTGCAGATTTAATATATTCATATGTTAGATACAAAAAGCTGAAGACCACGTAGGTGTCTTGTGTGAGTGATTGGCTTTAAGTGATTTTTATCATGTCATATATAATGGAAGTAGTACTCCCATTTAGAGCATTTTCAAATCACTTCTCTTGCTCCTCGATTTGTACTTCTGGAGGTAAAGTATATCGTCCCCTCTCATTTTGTAATACGATTTCGTATCTAAAAACATGGTAGGGGTATTTCTAAGCCCCCATAGGGATGAGACCTAAAAACAAACGCCTACACTTACAATGATTGGATAAGATGTAAATTAGAACAAATTAAATTCTATCGTCAAATATATCCAATCAGAAACTAAGACAATGGAAGACAAGTTCAATATTGACAATGGTTTACACAGGTAATTTCTCATCTTAGTCGTGAAGAGTAACGGCTAAGAGACAAGCACATAAAAAGCAATGATCTTAGCTAACATCATGAGCACAAACCCTGGAATCTTCAATTTAATTAATTGCAGTTTGAAAACAAGAAATTAGCAGCCATAAATCGTTCAACTGCTTCTTGTGTAGGTTATGACGAATGTTATAGCATTTTTTGTACAGGCCATGCATGGAATAGAGTTCATAACCAGGGAAATGAATAATGGTCTTGTTTGAAAATGCTCAATATGAGCATGAAGTGGCTTTTAAAAAATCGCCTCCCGTGTCTGGGTATGCAGCTTATAGACTCTAAACGATTCAATTAAGCAGTCAAAACCTATAAGTTAAAAGCATCCTACTAAAGATGTTTCTAGATTCTCATGGCATAATGCAACTGTACAGTAGTTTTTCTTTGACATTTTTGCTAGCCGAACCCGATTTTGTTCTTCCCAAAAATGATCCCACCATTAATTACAACACAAACCTCCTTAACACCATCCTTCTCTCTTCCTTTTGAACCCCTCTCCCTACAGCAACTATGTCCGAAAAACCTATGGTGACCTCAAATGCAGCAACTATAGACGAATACACGTGTTAAAAAATACACACATGCACAGTTCCCTCTTTCCATTTCTCTCTCTTTGTCTTTATTCCTACTATGATTAAAAAGTATTCTATATAATCTGCCATTCTGCCTTAGCTCTATTCTACCAAATCTAAAATCTTATGATTTCAAAGTATTGATCCAAAGTTTTAATTCCTACTAATTAAGATCCTCCCTATCTTACTTATTAAAACCATGTCATCAACTTATATACACCAAGAGACTTTCTTACATATGTCCGCAAGCCCATACTTCACTAAAACATAAAAAATAATTTTTTGGCAGGATCTTGTGGCAACCAAAATTTTCTATTACTTATCACCTACATGCTATTCTTAAGCACTTAATCGTATTTATGCTAAATAATATGTAATAAATAATAGAAAATCCTTTTTATTCTCAAAAGCATTGTAAGGCTTCCCAGTACACCCTAGAGTATGCTTTTTCTACAAAAATCAAATGCAAATATGTTTTTACTCAACAACCTCCTAAGAAGCTAAAGACTTAAAGATAGATCTCACTCATAAAACCACACTAGATCTAAAATTTAGATTTACAACTTAACCCATGATACATATTGAACTTATTATGGATTATAATATGATAAGACAGGCAAAAGAACAATTTGACTTCAAGGAATGAACAGAAAACTTATCATTCTCGGCAACTTACTTTCTTAAAACCTGCTATTAATTGAATTGAAACCCATCCCTCTACATCCATGTTCTGGCGCAAGAATGTATCTTTAACTAAATTCTCATTACTGAATAAGAAATGGATAAAAGAAAACAAGACGTTAGTGTCCGCATGGTGGTAGACAGTAATATAATTTTGATTTTCTCATAAGAAAAACTAACCACATAATTAAGTACCTAAAATAATAATCTATCTGATTCACTATCTTATTAGACAAGTGAGGATCTGACACAGGAAAAATCATAGGCGGCATTGGAACCATAGGCATTCTGAGAGGATCTGGATGAGGCCCGGGAACATAATATACAGGAGAAGGCATTTCTGCAAGTACATCAGAACATCAGTACAAGGATAAAAATAGGAAAACGTGATCGTAGAAGTAACATATCTCACCAGTGTAAACCATCGGAGTAGCAAATGGTCGCACAGCCAAAGGAGGAGTGGTAATATAAGGTGTGCTAGGAACTGGACTGCGAATGAAAGGTCTAGAAGCAACTCTCTGCTGTGGCATATTGCCTTCTCTGCCACCAAAACTTCGATGATGACTATCCCAATCCTGATTCCCGCGTTCCCGGTCACGCCTGCCACCACGGCCATGATGATGGGAGACATCCCCTCGGGGGTGTGGACCACCACTGCCTCTTCTAAATGAACTCCGCTGCTGTTGTAGCACATTTCCACCATGTGATCCTCCGGTGTGCCCACCCTCCCTATTCGTGTTATCCCTCGCAGACGCCCCAACAGACCCACCGGACTTACCCAAATTATTAGGGACTAGTTCCACCACTGCACCTTCTGGTGGTAGTGGCTGAGAAAAGTTGTCATTAGCTGATCCATCACTATTGCTCATACCCCCACCATCAATCTTCATAGACCTCTGCCTGGAAGGGCCGGTATAGTGGGGTGCTAAAATAGGGCTGGTGTTACTACTGGTATCTTGCTTATGGGTAGACGAAAAACCTACTCCAGTGCCCTATCATACAGACATGAGCATAAAAATAGAGAAGTCACAATTTCCAACCTCTGTAGCAAATTCTAAAAAACCAACTGTAATGGTCTTTCATATAAAACCACAGCATATAACAAACATGTACATGAATTTATTACAATGCACCATAAGACATACAGCTACGTGCAAGTAAATTTTAGAGTTGTGTATAGAAGAAAATTAAGAACTTAACGTGTAACATTAAATTAATAAGCAAAAACAAATAAGAATGTAAAACATAATTGTATCCGTATAAAATTAGACCTGTGACAAAGAGACTGGTCCATCAGACAGAACTTTGAGAGAATCAGAAGAAGATGACTTCTTTGGGGATGCACGGGCGGATTCAGAGAGAGCAGGCCAAGACACTGCCCCCATTACAGTGCTAATCTTTGCAGTAGCACCATTTGAAGGCTTGTTCCAAGCCGGTTTCTTAGTAGCATTGCTGCCGCTGCTTCCTCCACCATGCTCAGTACTCTCTACCACAGTCTCAGCCGCACAAGCAGCACCACCACTCTCCACCAAAGGACAGGTCATAGAACCAACTACAGCTGCCAGAGTAGAAGCAGCTTCGGAAGGAGAAGAATCGGAAGAAGCTGGTGAAGAAGAGGAATTCACATTTGCCTCCATAGCAACAACACCAGATGAGGAAGAAGAATGTTGAGAAAGCACGCCGTTTACAGAAGCTGCCGCACCCGATGAAGAGGAAGAGATGACATACTCCGAGTCACAGTCACGGACAATCTGATTCCAGGAAGAGGAGCCGCCATGCGCAGCCGAGGCCCACCTTGAATTAGAACTCCTAGGGGAGTGAAGAGCCGAAGAAGAACTAGGGATTGGGTTAGTTGCTGTTGCCATCAAAAATAATAATTTTCTTTTGGGGATTTCTGTTTTCCAAAATAAGGGTTTCGGTTTTTCCCTAAAATAATAAACAAAAAAAAAAACTCTAAAAGATTGGAATTCAGGTTACCAAAAATACCTGCCTGATTTGAAATAACAATTACGATCGATTGATCGATCGGTCAATTGGAAAACCCTAAAAAGAACAAAAAAAATTATAATCAAATTGATCAAAACTTTCTAGTATTAGACACTAGGAAGAGAGATTTTCGATGGATCGCAGAAGATCCGATCGGGGGTAGAGAGGGTGAGATCTTCTTCTTCACACAGAAAAAACACAAATAGAGAGAAAGAATCTTCTCTGTCCTCACTCTCTCTCTCTCTACACCAATTCTTTCCTTCGTTTCGGCACGAGTAACACTCACGTTTTTTTCTTAACATGTTTTAGGGCATGTTTGGTGTAAATTTTTTTAGAATGGATAAAAGGTGAAAAAAAAATTAGGGAAATGATGGTGCAAACAAATTGCTTTACACACATACACCCCTCTCACATTTGCGGGTCCCCACTTTTGTATGTGAGAAGTCTATAAATCATAATGTCAAAATTATTGTACTTATAGCATTGCTCAAAAAATTAATAGTTATGATTTTATTGAAAAATGAGTTTGAAAAAATTACTCTTTCCATTCTATCTATATATGTTGACTTTTCCTATTTTATTATCTCAATTATATAATTCTGTTTTTTTATTAAGAATGTTTTGTTTTATTCGTCACTAATATACTCCTATTTAATTTGTCTAATTATAATTAATTTTCTTCACTTAATCTTGAAATTGTACAAATATAAATAAAAATATACTAGAAAAGTTTTTGGTAAAAAATGCTTTTCCAAAATTATTAATTAAGATTTCTTAATTCGTGTAAGGAAAAAACCAGCAGTCATAAATGAGACGAATGTAGTATTAAACATAAATTTAGCTTCAAAAAATAATATAAATTTGCTTATAAGAAAAGGATCGATAGGTTCACAAAATAAGTGATGAAAATGTGGAAAAGTTCACAAATTGAGTGGTGAAAATTGGATGGTAAGTGTGGAACTAAGTTATGAAAATTAATAATTGACTTCGATATTAATTTTTAGCAATTATTGAAACTTTTCAAACAACCACTAAAAAGTAAAACTTGAATAGATAATTCATAATTGTGTTTCGGAGCTATTGAAATTAAGTTAAGGCATACTTTACCTAGTTGCTATTTGATTATGCTAAAAAAAACACATTTTGATAGATATTAATTAAAGTTGATAAAATAAGGAGTTGAAAAGTTAATAAATACTAGTCTCTATTTGATTTTTGCCGTTTAAAGTTATTGAATTTTTCAAACAATGCTATAATAATAAAAAATTACTAGTGCATCTGACGGACTTTAAGGATAATTCCTCTTGTCTCGGGCCATATTGGCTCGAAATTATCTAAGGCCTGAAAATCCCGGGCCTATGTGGCTCGAGATGTCTTGGCAAAACTCCGGACCTTAAATATTTTGTCGCAGTGAAACCAATTGAAAAGTTTGTTTGCCATTTTTGTCATCGTTGATACACTATGAATTTACTACTTTGCCTTCATTTTTTGTCCATTTTATTTTAGACTACTTGGCATGTAATGAAGGGTAGATTTGGAAGAATATCAACTAGCTTTGAAAGAGGAGGGTTGTAGAAATTGATTTTCAAGTGATATGAAAACAAACCATTAACAACACGGACCATTGCTTATATAATGTCCATCAAACAAGGGTTAATGTTTTCAAAATTTATTATTGATTCGACTTAAATTTTTTTATCAATTTTTCAACTAAATCAAATATATGCTTAAATGGTAAAAAATGGAGTATATTCACTAAAATACTTTATTTTTAAATTTGGCTAGACATGCTCTCTTGTTTTTGTATTACAATATTGCCCTTGTGACACGACTGACTTGACTTAAAAATTACGTCTAGTGAGTTATTACAATAAGTAAAATAACTTATTCATTTTAAGTAAGAATGACCTCCAAAATATGTATATAAGTTGTTTCTAATATGCAGATTCACTCATCAATGAACACAACATAATCAGCTGAAAGGATTTGCAAATTTTACTTTATAAGAACAAAAAAGTAAAAGTAATTGTTTCGCGCGGGTTAGTCGCTAACAATTAAAAATGGATCAGACGATTGTGTAAGGGACAAACCTCTTGAAAGAAAATCCCAAAAAGGGGTGTTCTTTATTGACGATAACTTTATAATTGGAAAGTAAAAATAGAATGCCTCCAAGGAGCGCAAGCACACGAGTTATTGAAAGAAGTGTTTAAATCTAAATTAAGAAATTTAAAATTACATGTTCTCTGTTCGAGAGTTTTTGATTCAGGGTCTTTTGCTTTATGTCTTTTCTTCCTTTTATACTCCCTGGATGATCTCTTTGTAATCAACCGCCTAAAAACTGCTTGATCGTTCTATAACTGTCCACTTTCCTCGTAATGGCCAACTTGTCATGGAACTGCCTTTTCTAATTGCTGCCATTACTCTTTGTCGTTCAACCGTTTTCAATTGAATTTCTTGAATCGTGGAACGTGATAAGGCTGCTTTAATAACTGTTTTGATAACTGCGCTTCTTGATAACCACAACACTTCATGTTTGCTAAGACCTTGGGCGACTCGAAGGTTCGGGCAAGAATAGAGTAGCAGTTCTGGGTGACTGCATGGCACTCCATTCGCTCAGATCCTGGGCGATTTGCAAGCTTGGACGATGGTGTTACCGCGTTCATGGGCTTCCCTATTTAGGCCTTCATCCTGAATTGTCTGATTGGGTTTCGTTCTTTGGGCTATCTGATTTGGGGATCCTCCAATTGGGTTTCATTCCTTGCGCCGTTCGATTTGGGCTGAATTTTTATGTATCAACAATTACCCCCCAATATGGCAGAATTAATACCAATTATTAAATTTTGCCATATTCACTTTGTGTTTCCAGCAACATTCGAAATTCTCAAGAATTTCAATCATTGTTTTTTTCCATAGCTTGAAAAGGTGCGACGTTTTGCAAACCCTTATAACCCCCAAATACGCCATTTCACTGCACCATTAAATCACGCCTCACTTTTTTGCGTTTCTCTCCCACAATTTACTGTTCATCTCTTTGCTTCCCTGCTACGTAACTCTGAAAAACTCCGTTTTGTCCCTAATGGCTACTTCACAATCTCAATCTGGCGACTCCTTTAGTTTTGATAACTTTCAGAAACTCCTTAATCGTCCATACATAACTCTGAACTTTCTCGCACCTGCCAATGTCGAATTTAATGAGTTCTACCTAGGTCCTTTCTTCAACAATGCGGAGGCAGACGAATAAGCGGCGGTGGGCCAGCTGTTTCCTTGTACTTAAGGCCCTCCATTTCTAAACTCTCTGCCGCTGGGGCCACTTCGCGAAAGAGGTATTGACACTTGGCCCAAATCTGACGTAGTTTTCCGTAGTGGCATGCTCGCCTTGTGGACCATGGTCCTACTAAGGCACTTTTTGATAATGTTAGGATTTCTAATTTGTTAGAAATCTCTCTTCAACCCTCTACTTTTGATTCAGCACTTTTTTCGATCGCTTTAAGTTTTTGGTCTTCTGAATATAATACCTTTGTTTTCCCTCTTGGCCCCATGTCTATTACTTTAAGGGATGTTGGGGCCCTAGTGAATCTGCCACCTTTGGGCGATACCATTTTTCCTGGTATCTTGGTTTCTGGTGGCACCCCAAAGTTTGGTAAAAACCTCACCGAGTCTTATTCAAGCCTGCAAACCCTTCATAACCATTCGAGCGCTGAGTCTTCCCATACTAAGCGAGTGGCCTTTCTTCTAGTTTGGCTTTGTAAATATGTTTTGTGTGTACCAAGCATAAAGCCCTCCCTGAGCTATTTACCCATAGCGAACGAATTGGCGCGTAGCAAGCCTCTAAATTTATGTTCTTTCTTTTTGGCTGCCCTCTATAGAGACTTGGCTTCTCTTCAAACTCAATTGAAGAATGGTGCATCTCCCACTAGCAGTGGAACTCTTTGGTTCATCAAATGTGGTTGAGATCCTATTTTCCATTGCTTAGTGCTCCTTCAATTTCTCGTCCTTCTGCTAGCTGCTATGGGTTAGCCATTGAGCCCCTAACTCCTGTAAATATGTTTAGAAGGGACATTTTTTCATTCTTTTATTCCTTGGATTCAATCTCTTCCTTCTTTCCTTTTCCTCCCTTTTTGACTCCAGACTATGTGCATCCTCCCTCCACTATAGACAGCGCGAGCGCCTCTCTGCTCATTTGGATCCAGTTTTTAACCGGGAGGGAGTTATTTCATGATATTTTGATTGGGACCAAAGCCAAGGCAGGGGTAGAAATATATGCTCCCCAATTTTTTGCTCGTCAACTTGGTTTTAGCCAAACCTGGCCTATTCCTCCTTGCTGTTCAAGGAACTTGATAGATCGCTTCCATATTATTAATAAGGCGGAGGCAGAGGTTATAAATGCTCGCAATCTTCTTTTGACGAGCCATTTTTCATTAGTCCCCTTCAATTCTAACTGTGCCATCCATCCTCTTTTTGAACAGCTCTGGCTGTCAGTGAAGTGCAGATTGTTTGCGACTGATGCCAATCGTGCCTTTCATTCACTGGACCAGCTGAGCATTTCTTCCCCTCCTCCTATCTTAGTCACCCTTTTGTCCATCCGGAGTCCTTCTCCTCCTCATCGCGCTAAACAGTCTGCTCGTCCATCTTCTTCTCTCCCTGCCAAGCTTACTGCAGCCAAAATTGCCGCGAACCGCAAACGGCCAGCCTCAGCATCTCCCATTCTGGAGGATGATGTTGATGATGATACCCCTCTTATCATCAAGAGGAAGGTAATTAAATTGGTTTACTCACAAGCATACTTTTCCATACTTGAAACTTTTCTGTGTGCTGATGATTTATTTGGACTTCTCAGAAAAGTTCAGCCTCTCCTTTAAAGGATTTGGTATCGGCAGCTCCTGCTTCATCATCCTCCGTTGAGGCTGCTTCATCCAAACCAGCTGATGAAGGGACTACGCTTAAAGAGACATCTTCAGTCCCAGAATCCTCATCACAACCAATGGATGAGCCACCTTCTTCCCAGGGCGTCAACCCCCCAAACATCGAAGCGGAAGGTAATTCAGTTTTTGATGCTTTATCTTTGCTTGTGCTATTGGTTTCTGACTTGTTGCTTTTGAGCTCTGCAGATGCTCTTATGAGTCTGCCCGTTGTGGCAACATCTTCTCGCTCAGACAAGGAGAAGTCCTCGCGAATGGTGGAGCCACAAGTAACAGACTTGGCTGAGGATATGCCATCTTCCAAAATTATTGATGAGGTAATATTTGTTTCACTTTTATTGTTATTTCATCTTGT